GGGGTTCAGGGTTTCCTAGGTAGTATCAGGGAAACCCCTTAAAGGGGACCCTTCTCAACCCTACTTCTGGCTCTCTTAAGCGGGACCTGGTTGAGTGGGCCCCTCAGCCTGAAGCAGAGCCCAGACCCCCCCAAAAGGATCTAACAAAATAGATCGCCTAATTAGGGACCCTAACTACTAAAGGGTACTTTATAGGAACCCCCTTAGAACCCTAAACCCTAAACCCTAAACCCTTAAGGGGATCTATTTTTGTTTGATCCTTTTGGGGGTTTGGGACACCGCCTGGCCGGCCTCAACAACCCTCCGATGAACGCGCTCGGATTTCGGATTTCGGGTTTGGGGTTTAGGGGTTTAGGGGTTTAGGGTTTTAGGGTTTTAGGGTTTAGGGTTTAGGGTTTAAGGTTTAGGGTTTTGGGTTCAGGGTCTGGGTTTCGTGCGCAGTTTCAATTTGGGGTGAGTTAGGGTTTAGGCTTTAGGTTTTAGGGCTTACCTGTAGTCTCCATTGTAGTTCTTTTTGGGGATACCTTATAAAATCTTTCACATATAATTGGCCATGGTTAAACCAAAACAGGAACTACAATGGAGACTATAGGTAGGCTTGGTTCAGGTCTTGAAGGTTCAGTTGGGATGTCCGGCGGTTGATTCCGTCGCCTTGTTTGCGCACCACCGCGACACGAACACCCCAACACTATAAGCAAGAGAGCTCAGCAACCCTACTTCAGGATTATGCTCTATTTCATACCAAGAACAATACAAGTATAGACTCTATCAGATTCAGCCCGATATTCCCGAACCGTATCAGCGGTATTGTAAGCGCTCCCACTCCACCAGGTACGTCGCGACACGCTTCATGTGTATGCGAGACTTCCAGATGGCCGGCTCTCAGTAGGGTTCTGGCTCGTGAGGGGTTTGATGAATGAGGGTAGTCGAAGGATTATCGAAGTCGTGAGCTTTGTCAGTTTTGGTCGCCAACCAGCCAGAAGAGCTTAACGCAGATTATCAGCATGCTTGTGTCGCACGGAAAGTTTTTGGGTCGAGGGGTTCTGTCTCCCTAAACCCTAAACCGTAATTTGAATTTCAAGTCTTGGGGAGCTGCTACCACCACCGAGTTGAAAAGCTCCCCCCCGGCGTTCTCGCCGAAGCTCACACCTCTGAACCTTTGCATCCGATCACACAGGAGCGCGAAACGCAAGCCGTGGCTTGAAGGTTCATGGGTATCAACAAACAGGTAGAGACGGAGAGGTAACCTGAGGCTCCGTCCATGTACCCGAATTGTATACTGTGGCTAAAGTACGTAGTCCTAATATAGGTACTGTAGGGCCAAAGTATGTACTAGTTAGGGTTTATGGGTTTATGGGTTTTTGGTACTAGTAAGCCAACTCTAAACCCCAAACCCTAAACCCTAAACCCTAAAACTTTAAACCCCAAACCCTAAACCCGAAACCCTAAACCCTAACCCCTAAACCGAACAACCCTAAACCCTAAACCCCTAAACCCCGAACAACCCTAAACCCTAAGCCTTTAACCCTAAACCCCTAAACCCTAAACCCTAAACCCTAAGCCCCCAACCCCAAACCCTCGGGGGTGGCCAGAAGCTGCAGCTAGAGTGAGTTATCTTAGCAGCCCTCGGTTCTCAACACTCAAAGCCTACTATAGGGGCCCTAAGAATTACTTATACTATGTAGGGTTTAGTAAGCGTGTAGGGTCTAGCATGGGAAGGTTCAGGGTTTAGGGATTAGTTTCGGGTCGAGGGTTCAGGGTTTAGGGTTTAGTTTAGGGTTTAGTTCAGGGTTTAGGATTACTTGGGGGTGTTCCTTATTACAACCATAGTATACCATACCTCCAAGCCCTATTCTCACTATTATGGCCCCTATGCTAGGCCCTTTCCAACGCCGAAGCAGGAAAGTCACACAATTATTCCGTGATGTCTCCCGAAATCGGAATCTAAACCCCAAGCTAAACCCTTTTCTAACCCTAAACCCTAAACCCTAAACCCTGAACCCTAATTCCTAAACCTTAAAACTAAACCCGACTAAACCCTAAACCTTCCCCTGGAATGGATGCAGCCTGATACTAAACCCCAAAGCCCTTCTTTTCCGAACGGTAGAGCATGCCTTACAAAATCTAACCCTCAAAGACACCCTGCAAGGAACCCGGAACTCTAACCCTGAACCCTTAACCCCGAAACCCTAAGCCGCCCACCCGAAACCTTAAGACCCCAAAAAACCCTACACACTAAACATCCCTCAGCCCACTAATTCAGCCTAAACCCTAATCCCTAAACCCTAAACCCTAAACCCTAAACCCAAAGCCCTGAACCCTAAGCCCTAAACCCTAAACCCCTTGTAAGGAGCCCCAAAAACCTTGTATGGAGGCTCCGGATTTGCTCGTGAACGGGACGATGCATGACGAATACGTCCTGCGCCAGGTTGCCAGGGCTTAGAAGAGCTGTTTAGGGTTTTAGCGATGAGGGTTTAGGGTTTAGGGATGAGGGTTTAGGGTTTAGGGATGAGGATTTAGGGTTCAGGGTTTGGGGTTTAGGATGAGGCTTTAGGGGGTTTGGGTTTAAGGGGTCAGGGTATGGGGTTTAGGGATGAGGGTTTTGGGCACATCGGCCTAGGGGTTTAGACAGGGGTTTAGGAAAATTCGTGCTTTCGAGGCTTCGGGTTCTTCTCAGATCTCTAAATGCAGTCCCGAACATCCCTAAACCCTAAACCCTAAACCCTAAACCCTAAACCCTAAACCCTAAACCCTAAACCCTACTCTTATGTGGGCCCTTTCATCCGCCGCGCTCTCCGTCTCCCAAACCCTAGAGGCCTGAACCCGAAAGCCCTAAGCCACATCGAAGCCTATAAGGAAGGGTTTAGGGTTTAGGGTTTAGGGTTTAGGGTTTAGGGTTTAGGAGGAATACTACCGGTAATGCTTCCGGCTTCTTGATTTTCTGGTTGTGTACAAGGGAGCCGTTTGGCATTGCTGAAATTCCATTTGGACACCAAGCCGCTAAAGCTGGTCAAGTGTTTCGGCGACTTGAAGAAGGGCTTCGGAGTGTGCATGTCTGTGCGAATCAACAGCTCAGCAAGAAATTTCGGCTTTGCGGATTCCAGCAAGTCGCCCAAGCAGTGGTGTGCATGTTCCAAGCACAGAGTTATGCAGTGGTTTGCTTGCTCAGAGTTCAAGTTGCAAATGCTCCGATACGAAGCAGCCGTTCACGTCCAGTCCATTATCGTGGGGTGGGAGTAGTCTGTAATTGTAAATGGTCCGTGTTCTAACTAAACTGTAATATGTCGCAATATCCTGTTGTAGTTTTTCTTGAATTATTACGGGCCCTATGTTCGCCAGGCTAGTGGGTGATGGCCTCTACGCTCCAGGGAGCATTCCAGAAGCCCGGCAAACGGTAGGGTGAGTGGTTCCCGGTTCAGGGGTTAGGTTCAGGAGAGGGGTATTCAGGTGTTCCAAGGACTCGCATTCGGTCTCCTTTGGGAGGATGACTGCTGTTCGTAGTCCTGGCACGCCGGATCAGAGTTTTCGATTAAGGGTGTGGTTGTGCTCCGGCGACACCGGGTTGCAGTTGTTCATGACGTAAATGACATGTTTGGGGGCTCCTCGGCTGTCGGAACCGCGCTGCTAGTCTTGCAATTGTTCTTATCGTGTCTGTGCTTTTGAGGGATGTTCAGGGGTTCGGGAAGAAACAGAAGCAGCCATCCGAAATGTAGTCCAGTCTCAAACCGACGGCCGAGGACTTCTGCCCACGGCTCTTCCTTCACAAGATCCGGATCGGGCCGGGGCCCTGGCAGACTTTCCTTGTTGGGGAGGGTGGCTCCAGGCTCAGAGTCTCGCCAGATGACAGACGATATTCAACAGTGCATGGGCCCAAAGAGAACAACAATTTCTGAACCCCAGAGCCGGGACTGGCGGGAACCATAGGACCACAGACCCTGCACTGTCCATCTCGGCGAGGACTTTTTTGTTTGTTTCTCCTTCCCACTCCTCGGTGTCCGAGGTTCTTCAACCTCCGGGGCGAGGCAGCAGACGTGCGGGCATTCTGGATGTCTGCTGGATGTACGGCACACTTGAGGTTGTGTCATTTCTAACTTGTCGGGGGATTCCCAGTGGTATAGTAGGGCCTACCTCGAGGCACTTGCCCCCCCCCAACACTGACTCAGCACCTTGGAAAGTACTTTGATGGATCCTCACCCGGGGTACCCTAAACCCCAAACCCTAAAACAAGTACCCCGCAGGCCTGCTTCCTGCGCTGCCCGCTGCAAGCTGCGCCTGAACTCTGGCGCGCGCTGGGGCGGCTGAAGAAGGCCTGGGAATGCGGGTGTTAACAATCGCTGTGGGGGGCTTATTTACGCCACGAAATGTAGTGTTGCTAGGGTTGTGGGATATTATGATAGTTGGCCGAGAGGGCGTGAGAATGTTGGGTTCTTAAGGTTCAGTGTTTTCAAGAAATTGTTGGGCAGAGGTCCTGGTCAGCAATCCTGTTACCATGAGCATCGTCGCTTAGGCTGGCTGGAAAGCAAAGAAGTTTGGACCTGCCAGATTTGCGGAATGTCTCTTTCCGATCATGATGTCAACAACTCCACTCAGTACAAGCCCTATACCCTAAACCCCAAACCCTAGGCCAACTTTTCAGGTGGGCGGAATGGCTCTCATGGGATGTGGCGCTCCGGGACGCTAGCGTCGAGAGCTCTGGCAAAAACGGGGCCCATCTCCAGCTTGCGCCACAAAGCCTCGAGTTTTGAGCATAGTCCCTGAACCCTAGACGCCTAAAGTCTTGGTCCCGAGTTGGAATTTCCCGCGACGCCTCCGAAGCAGAAAGTGCCCCACGGGGACTTCAAGATTTCAGGCCCTCTCCACTGAAACGATGCACAGATTAAGGGTTCGTTGTTGCAGCTCTTGAGACTCGGTGGAGCTTTCAGCGTACAGCTATCGAAGCCGCCTCAAGGCTTTCCGTTGTCGCAGCATTTGCTTGGGCTCGGAGCGTTTCGAGCTCTTGTATGAAACTCAGCGGAGTTTTCGCTCGGCTGCGACCAAGGCACGCGGATTTGCGTTTTGGGGACCTCAGGAATTTACTAGTGCTTAGTTGGTGAAGTCTTCTGTACCTATCTGTCTACCTCGACATGCGCACGCCGCACGCATGCTTTGATTGACGAACGAGCTCATGCCTTAGAGTCTCAGAGGCTTGATGCAAAACCACCCCTGACCCCCCCAGAGCCCCATCCACTAAGCCCTCAGCCTCTAGCTCTAAGTGAGCCCCTAGCCCGCGCTGAAGCTGCCCGAGCTCTTTACTCAATCGCATTCGAAGGTCCTAAAACCTTAAACCCTAAACCCAAAGCCCTAGCCGAAGCCCTGGAAGGTCCATGCAGGCGTCGATTCAGCCACAGCTTGCGGCACGGCGAGAGGCGAGCGTCTGGCTTTTGGTGTTTTCGTTTCTCTCTGTCTCTCTCTCTCTCTCGCTCAGTGTTTCTCCTGATCTTTCTATTTGGCTTCCTGCTTCTGTCATGTATGTATACATACCGCACATAACTGATTACAATTAGCATCATCATTGATTGTTTTTTTGCTACCTCTCGCTCTCTCTCTCTCTCTGTATATGTGTGCATCTACATGTGTGAACCCTAAACCCCTAAACCCTGAACCCTAAACCCCTAAACCCCTAAACCCCTAAACCCCTAAACCCTAAACCCCTAAACCCCTTAACCCTAAACCCCCACACCCTGAACCCTAAACCTCAAGAGCTGGAAGCCTCGATACCGGATTTCGTTTTTACGGAGAGAGGGCCAAGTCTTCACTACACCCTTAGACTTGTCCTACAGTCCCAAGTACCCTAAACCCTAAAAGACTTAGAATAAGGCTGCTTGGGAGCCCCAAGCCTTATTCTAAGTCTTTTTTTGGGGGTTTAGGGTTATTGTTCTTGAGGCGTTTTGAGACTCCCACGATGGGTGGACCTCGGCCCCTGAACGAGGTCGCCCGGAGCAGCGCCGGCCCACGCCTTGCAGAACCCTATCGGAGGACCCGGAGACAGCTCCTGCAGGGTTTACGGCTTTAGGGTTAAAAGGGCTTTAGGGCTTCAGAGCCTGTGTGTTCGTTCGGGCTTTGGGGAGAAAAAAGACCTAGGGTAGCAACTTCGGGGCTGAGTTACAGGACCAGGGTTTCTAAATCAGGTTCTTGCATTACCCGGGCCAAAGGCCCAAACCCAGAAAAGTGTCGCAATGGTCCCAGAGCCCGAAATTGCCGAAACCCAAGATCAAAGCCGACAAAAGGGCCTCAGATCGATGGGATTTCCTGAAGACAAGCGCGCAAAGTTGGCTCGGCCTCCTAGCTAACCTTCAACAAACAGTGTGAGGCTGGCCGCTCCTGCCACCGATGCTACTGCGCCGAGGGCGCCGCGTGCTGCCCTGGCGGCCCGGGCCTCAGCTGGAATAGTTGGGCTCAGTGGTTATGGTAGTTTGTACTACCCTCTGCTCTAACCCTTGAACCCTACGCCACCAAGTCCTTCAGCCCAAACATATGAACATACATATACACACTGTATGCATGTATGTAACGCAATGTCATGTAACATAATGTAATGTAATGTAATGTAGTGGAATGTATTGTAATGAAATGTACTGTATCGTAATGTAGTTTAATGCATGTAGGTACATATATGTACATATATATATACACATGTATATATGTATATATGTACAGACATACACACATGTACATACATGCATATATATATATATATACTTATGTATATACAAATGTTTGTATGTAGCTGTATGTGATCAGTCTCTTAACCCTAGACGACTCAAGCGAGGCTCTCGCTGGCTCTGCCGCGGGCAGCACCCTCCGCCGAAGAGGGCCCAACAGGCGGGTTGAAAGGATGGTGATGAAGTGGGTTTAGGGTTTAGGGTGATTAAGAGTAAGATTGTAGTAAGAGGCGAGGAATGTGCCGCAACAACTCGTTCTGCTGCTTCTGCTGCTGCTACGCCGCTTCTCCTTATGTCGAAACGAGTCAAGACAACAGTAGGTGTGTATTGAGGCTCTGGATAATGTTTGCAATGCTCATACTGCTACGAGGCCTTATTCTCGGAAATACAATGCCGGCTCTCCCTGTGCTGGCTTCCTTGCGACTCCATTTGGTTTCTCGAATGTTTGAACCGGGTTTGAGGCGTTTCGGGGCTCACTGATGGTTGCTTCCTCCAAGGTTGGCATGATTTGGGATGATGGGTTGATGAGTCAATCATCCCGGAGCCTAGGAGTTCATGGGTTCCGAATACGTCGGGTGTGGGTTTAGTTTAGAGCTAAGGCCTCTCGGCTTCGGCAGTCTCTGGCCTTTGTGACGAGGCTCTGGTCCGTTGTGCTTGGAAAGCATTTTCGGCTTGCTTGGTGGTACATCTGTACTATATGAAGTTGCCGATATTAAACAACACTTCCGAGCACCACTTGAATATCATTCACACAGCCCTCCATGCAATCATGTCGACATCAGCATCACACTGAAGCAGATCTCGCCGGGCGATTTGACTCCCCACCTCCATTTCGCACAGGCAACTAACTAAGCTTTACATCAGATCATGAAGCGCGGACGATGTCGCTCCGGCCGTTGGGGCGGGCTCGCCTTGTGTACAGCGGGCCTGTGCTGGATCGCGCCGGGCATCTCCTTCGCGGCGTCCACGCAGCTCCGAGTGCCCTTTAAGGCACCTGGTCGGCTCACGCTGCGTCGCGCAGGCGTGCAGCCTCCGCAGCTCGATTCGCAGTCCGAGCCCCCGGTGGAAACGGGGCGGAACCCGCAGGCCGTGGCCACCGACTTCGCTTGGGGCATCGTGCTGCTGCCCGCGTCGGTGCTGGGTCTGATCGTCGCCTACCTCTTCAGCGGTTTCCTGAGTGCCACGTCGCAGCCGCCGCCCGAGGTACCGCTGTCAGAGTCGCTTGCTGCCCTCATCTCCATCGAGGACGACTACGCTGTCCGGGGACCCGGCATGGGACTCCGCCAACGTCTAAGCCGGTGGTTCCATTGGGCCGAGCCCAATCGGCGGGTGGACTTCGAGATCAAAGACCTCCCGAACAGTCCACTCAAGGACGAGCACGAGCTCGGTAGGAACATAACTTCATTCTGATTGCCACTCTTTTCAACTCGTTTCTGTGTCTGTTCCAGCTTAATTATCTCTCGACAGATGCAGCTGTCCCTTCAAGAAACCACTCGAGGACAAGATCCGCCAGCGCGGCAAGGACGCTGCAGAGGACATCGCGATGACGGTGGAGTATTTCGTGGCGGGGAATGGAATCATCGACGACTCTGGCTCTTCTCGCATGGCTGACCGCATCGCCCAGGACGAGGCCGCACGGGGCTACCCCGAGGCGGAGAAGTTTGCCGAGACCTGGGCATTTGTTAGAACACACACAATGTGGATGTGTAAAGAAGCAGCAAGCATCGGCTTTCTGGTGGCGTCGGTGGTGCTAGTTCCAGTAGTAGTAGCAGGAGTAGTAGTAGTAGTAGTAGTAGTAGTAGTAGTAGCAGTAGCAGTAGCAGTAGCAGTAGCAGTAGTAGTACATTGTGCCGGGAATTTAGAACAAGTTGGTCAATTTGCAGTCTTGTCAGCCTGGTCATCTTGCTCGGCCACTGGTCATCTAGGTCATCTTGGTCGCCACTGGCCACCTTGGTCACCTTGCCCCACTTGCCCCACTTGCTTGACGACTTGTTTACCAGTTAGAGCAAGATGACCAAGATTGCTTGGCAATCTTGCCCACCCTAGTTCAAGTGGGGCCAGATGACCAGATTGCTGGCAATCTTGCTCAAATAACTGTTCTAAATTCCAGGCACATAGTATAGTAGTAGTAGTAGTAGTAGTAGTAGTAGCAGCAGCAGCAGGAGTAGTAGTAGTAGCAGCAGCAGCAGCAGCAGTAGTAGTAGTAGTAGTAGTAGTAGTAGTAGTGGTAGTAGTTGTTGTTGTTGTAGTTGTAGTAGTAGTAGGAGTAGGAGTAGGAGTAGGAGTGGTTTTG